CCGTCAGCATAATTCTCTGGAGATTTGTTTGCCTGTTGCATTAAAGGTCATCTGGGTGTGTCCTGTCTATTCAATTGTGAACAAACATGCAATCCACATTTGTGAAGAAGTTTTTGTGGAAGTTTCATTTCTCTGGGATGAGTGCCCAGAGACAATCGGAGGGTTGTATTTTACTTGCTTGTACATTCCTCCCAGCTCTGTGTAGGAGCCCTGGTGGCACTGTGGGGTAGGCATTGAGGTGCTAATTGTGAGGAGGACCTTTCAAACCCAGTAGCCGATGGTGGGACAAAAAGATAAAGCTGTCTGATCCTGCACAGTTTAGAGTCCGGGAAACCCTCTCCAGAGTTGCTGTGGGTCGGAAATGGCTCAATGACAGGCGTTGGTTCTTGGGCGACCAGCACAGTGAAAGCACTTGGCTGCCATCGGAAGCCACCAGCTACCCTCTGAGGGAGAAAGACGGGGCCTTCGCCCGCTCTAAGGATTGGCAGCCATGGACACCCTATGGGCAGTTCTGACGTAGTCCTCCAGGCTCCTCTGAGTGGACTCAGTGGTGGCCATCCGTTTGTGTGTGTTTTTTATGTCTGAGAATGTAGCTTCCCCACGTCCTCTCCAGCATCTGTGTTGGCCTGGCTTTTCTCTCGTGCTGATGGGCATGCAGTGCTCTGGTTGGTTTCATGTATGTTACTCTCATAGCTCATCGTTTTGACCCTTTGACTTGCCTGCCATGCGTGTATCCTCCTCTGTGCGATGTCTGTTCGTGTCTGTCCCTCGTTTCTAATGGCAGTGGCCGGGTTTCTTTGCCATTGAGCTTTGAGAGGTGTTCTGTGGCCCCGCTCTTGTCCTTGCCATGGGAGGTGCACAGGCCTTCTCCAAGCTGGCAGCTTATCTTTTTCATCCTTTGAATAAGCTCTTTTGCAGAGGGAAAAATGAATTTTGTGGAAGTTCAGTTATCAAGTTTTCTTGACTTGGCTTTACTTGTGCTCTCTATAACTGTCTTTCCTCCCTACATTATCGCACATTAATGTGGCCACTCCTACTTTCTTCTCAGGAAGGTTGCACGAGGTACATTTTCAAAATCACTTTGCTTCTAACCTGTGTACCATGATGCTTAGGTTAAGTTTCTAGTAAGGAGCTGAGTTATGTTTCCATCCTCTGACTGACATAATGAAACTGTGTTCATTTATTGGCATTATTGATATTTCAGGTCTCCAGTCTGTCTATTTT